AAAATCACACACTCTACTGACACTGACACAGTAAAGCCTAGATATCTAGATCTGTATTCTAGTTCTAAGGGGGAAAAAAAATTACACCACAACACAGCTGGTATTGATGAAGCATACTTTTTTGGGGGAAAAAACACTACGGTATTTTTCTTAAATATTGCTTAAAATGTAATTCTGCTCGATGAACACCCTATTTTGACGATGCTGATTTAAAAAACGTAGTTAGTTTTTGTCTACCGTGAAGCACCAGCTCTGAAATGACCATTTAAAATTGTCCCCAGTCCAGTCGGGTGACGTCACACAAACCGCTGAACCCGACCTAGGTGCTTTCTTGTCGTACCTCCATTTTTAATAACAGTGAAAAAAGTTCATAACAAAGAGTGAGTTAAAGAAGAAGTCTCATTTTCACTGTTAAAAATATGGAAATACGACAAGAAAGCACTGCGGTCGCGAGCTGACACCAAGACGCCCTTCCCAGTTTTTCGGCGTAATAAGAATGTAGTTTGGATTCCGATTAAGCCGACAACTCCGATCCGAGTTTAAAACCGCCTGCAGTCGGCCAGCTCTATGTGGGGCATTTTGGAAATCATGGAATTTTTATACCTATCAGCGCTTACTGAGTCAGTCTCCGAAATCGGCGTTCTCTGTTTTCTCCCTGGGCGATAACATAGAGAACGCCGAAACTTAAGCGGCTGAAAACCGACGCCGACAGGCGCCAGTCGGTGTCTGCTCGACTCCACATAGAGGGCGCCTATTGCCGATCCCTTTAAGCTCGTGATGCTAGAAAAGGGGGTAAAAAATTAGCTGAAATTTTAAGATCGTTCGCCCACCTTGCTCCGTCAGTTTGGAACTCTCTTTCCCAACCCTTGAGACATGATACAACATCTGAGTCAAAATTTAAAAAAATATTGAAAGACACATTTAATGACATCTTTCTTTTTTCTTCTGTAGATTCATGTTCAATACAATGTTATGTAAATGGCTAGGCATTCATTTATGTATTTAGTGAATTGCATTGTGTAGATTATTCTATGCTCATTTCGTGACGATGTGTAAGCGTGCGCGTGTGATAAGCAAGTAGATGTGTGTGTGTGCGTGTGTTTGTGTGAGCGTGTGTGTGTGTGCGCGCGCGCGCGCGCGCGCGTGTGTGTGTGTGTGTGTGTGTGTGTGTGTGTGTGTGTGTTTGACGTACATGTGTGTGCACATGTGTGCGTGTTACTGCTATGTGTTCGTGAGTGTGTATGTGTGTGTTTGTGTGTGTGTATGTGTGTGTTTGCGTGTGTGCATGAGTGTGTGTATTTTTGTGTTTGTGTCGCGTGCGTGAATATTGTTCGTACATGTATTTATGTAAAGCGCCTAGAGCTGTGTTTACACAAGAGTGGGCGCTATAGAAATGATCTTCATTATTATTATTATTATTATTATTATTATTATTATTATTATTATTATTGTAATTCGACATCCATTTTGACAAGACACGACACAGCCAGATAAATAGATCTCTGGACCCACAACGGAAAACTACACAGGCCTCGTCTCTTCAAAATCACACACTCTACTGACACAGTAAAGCCTAGATATCTAGATCTAGATCTAGACTCTAGATCTAAGGGGGAAAAAATTACACCACAACACAGCTGGTATTGATGAAGCATAATTTTTTGAGGAAAAAAAACACTATTTTTCTTAAATATTGCCTAAAATGTAATTCTGCTCGTTGACCACCCTATTTTGACGATGCTGATTTAAAAAATGTAATTAGTTTTTGTCTACCGTGAAGCACCAGCTCTGAAATGACCATTTAAAATTGTCCCCAGTCCAGTCGAGTGACGTCACACAAACCGCTGAACCCGAGTTGGCGACGGCGAGACGGCATTGAGAGTTCGTGACCTCGGTGCTTTCTTGTCGTACCTCCATTTTTAATAACAGTGAAAACAGTTCATAACAAAGAGTGAGTTAAAGAAGAAGTATCATTTTCACTGTAAAAAAATTGAAAATACGACAAGAAAGCACTGCGCCACAGCTGCCCACGGTTAGAAAAATCCTGCTCGATCAGTTCTCAGTATTTCGATTTGGAATTTTGCAAAATAAAGTGAAATGACCTGGACGTTACGAAAACTATTTTTCTAAAAGCGTAGTTGGTTTACCGCAAAAAATAGCTTATTTGGGCTTTGTATTTACCTCGAGCCCCAGTGGAAACAAAAAATCATGTATTTACAGCACGCTGACATGCTGGTCATTTTTTACCACTTTTTCAACACAGACAAGTCCGGTGTTATTGACGAACTGAAAACAGCTCACTCACAAATCTCTTGAAAACGCACTGTCATAATAATCTAAAGGCGTGTACTCTATCGAAACATACAAGTGGGACCTGGGTGAGATGATGAGTGAATTTCGCCGACGGAAATCATATGGAGAGCGGAGAGTGTTGAGAGTTGAGCGCAGCGTCTTGTGTTGCCTAAAAGTAGAAAAGGATCAATTCGTGCATGACTCAGGGCAGACGAGATTTTTTTGAGTTGTGAAAATGTCCTCGAAATGTACAAAGCCCCTTAAGAGTAAATATTTCACCGCACAGACTTTTGTGCAACATGTATATCCACACTTTTATGCGGAAGCCAATCGCGGATATACATACTGTTCCATTGCAAATCCAAAGAAACGAGTTGTTCATGCTTTTAAGAAACTTTTATCGCGGCGAACAATAAATCGCCTTCTTCAAAGCAGTGTTAAGTCTGCAAATGAACCCTCAAAGACCCGTTGTTGATAGGCCACGGAAAGTTGATGATTTTGACCGAGATGTGATAAAACGTCTTATAGTCAGAATGTTTGAAAAACGAGAACTAGTGACCCTCCGAAAGTTGAAGAAATATGTTGAAGAAGAAATGCAAATTTCTTTGAGCAAGACAACGTTATGGAAAATTGTGAAAAGTGCAGGGTTCACGTTCAGAAAAAGACTAGGACACAATAAAGGCATCCTATGCGAACGATCGGACCTCGTTGCCTCGAGGAGCAGATATCTACGACAAGTCAGAGAAAAGAGAAAGGAGGGTTTCGACATAGTTTACATTGGTGAAACCTGGGTTAACGCTCAAAGAGCAAGAGTGGCAGTTGATAGACGCTACTATGGGTCGGCATGTCCCTTCCAGCAAGGGTCAGCGATTAAT